GTCTTTGTATTTTGTTAAAATGGTGCAGTGTGTAATAATATCTCAATAGTTCATTCACAATATCTGTTGGGCTCATTAATTTGTCCCCTGTGCTATTTAGCAGAAATAGAATTTTGGTCTCTTTGGCTCTATATGTTCATTTTGAGGCTCTGAGATTTCCTGTCTTATTTCCTTGAGTATCGTACACGAACCCCAATTTATGCAGACACCTCTCTGTTTTTTGTAATAGTAGATCCTCTAGGTTTCACCTTACTCTTGTTATTTATTATTTTAATGTGGTGTTGGCTTTGTTTTTAGATTCCAGTTCCCTAAATTTTTCCATGAGTTGCGACTGATCAGAGATTAACTTTTTTCCTCGTTGCACTCCATTTAATTAATTGCCTCTTACCCCCGCCTTGTGGGCCAACCATCTTAAAATAGGCAATATACCCTCCTGCGTGTTCTCCTGAAGTAATCTTCCAATACCTTTTTTTGTTGCACTTGAAAGCGTCAGGTGCATTTAACAGAATTGTCTAGTCTCAATGTCCCTTGGTGAGTGTAGAATAGCAAAAGTTGCAAGCAATGGCATGTCATGGAAGTGTGCATGTTCAGTAAAGACCCAAACGTTATGAATTAACACGGATACCCCATTCTGATTTCATCTTGGCAAGAGAGTGGTACACCATCGGATATATGGGGGAGCTAAACCTGGAAGTTCCTTGGTCAGAGAAGTGAGTTTCCTGGACATCCCACTGCAGCTTCTTTCCTGTTCATTTCTTGGAATGCCAGTGTCCTTTTATGTGGGGTGTTGAGCCCTTTGGTATTAATGGTTAAAATTCTAAAAGTAGCCATTGCACATGATCTGAAAATCTGCCAAGCGGGAGCTCACCTCTCCCCCCCCCCCCCAGTGGGATCCAAGGAGGACCTTGAATACATATGGGTGCTATTATTAACATTTTTTAGTTAGCTCTCCAGGACCAGTATTCAGCTAATTTCCTAATGAGCTGCTTGTGGCTTTCTGTCAAATCTGCAAACTTATCTATTAACTCATTATGGACGATGCACAATTAATCAGTTTATTGTTTCTAGATAATCCATATAATTACCCAGGTCACACATCTCTTTCCTCAATTCAATGGTGACTGGTCAGAATTCTGCTAACATAGAGCTCTGCAGACTCTGCAGCATCTCTTGTAGCTCTTTTCTGGGAGATCCTCCATTATGTTGTCAGGCTTGGCAGTATGTTGTCAGATGGTATGTCTGAGCTTTGTAATTTTCAATGTAACATGGCACAGCCACCATCTTGTTCCCACCGGAACCTTTCTTTTTTAGCCTAATAGAATCATCATCCCACTTGACTGTCTGTAACCTAAATGCTGTTATATAAATAACCTATATGCTGTTTTACATTGATTTCCAGTGTAATCCAAAATTGAAGGGACATATTGGGCACCAAATTAATTTTGTTGTATAGATTATGTACCTGCAGTCTTACTGCTCTTGTGATACCTCCCTGCATGTGACTTGCACAACCTTCCTAAACACTTCCTGTAAAGATAGGTGTAATGTTCAAACTGCATTTATTGTGCAATCTGACTAATTTAGTTTTAATTTAATTTTAATAAAAATGTTTAATGTATTCTCTGTTAATAGCCTTCTAAACATTGCAAGCTCCTTGTGTGTGATTAAAGCTCAATTTACAGAGCAGGAGATAAAACTTCAAAAGCAAGTTAACATCTGACAAACATTTTTTTTCCATGTAGACTGTGTGAGTCACAGCCATGAGAGATTTGGCTAGGGCTACATAAACAGGAACAAAGGTGATTTCACTCCTAAATGGCACAAAACTAAGCAGTGAGATTGCAACAGGGTGTGGTCTATATACCAAAACTGCATCATTAATCTAAAGTTGTTATTTTTCCTATAGTGTCCCTTTGAATATATAAAGCCCCACTGCAATAGTCCTCTCCAGACAGAAATACATATTTCTTCACTGGGGCTTATGCCACATTCTGAATCCTCCTTCACTGCAAAAGAACCAACAATGGTTCGTAGTCGTGGGAAAAGTAGTTATAAAAGGATCTCAGCACAGTTAAGAAGATAATTTGAAAGCTGAAATTGAAATGCAGATGATTGGTTTAGCCAGGCAACAATTTTTAATGGCGTATGAATATTAAGTTTATGTTATGGTGTAATATTGGAAATTTGCCTTGCCAAACAAACCAATATATTACTTAACTACCCATCACAATATTTCACTCTTATTTCTAACTTAGATGTGCTGAAAATGTCAGTCCTCTCTTCCCTCCTCCCACTCAGAAGCACGTTTTATTTAGAATATTTTTGCAAAGTTTTAATAATTAGGGAAGGGAAGGTTTCTGAAAATATTGAGGGTATTACATGGATTCTAGGGAAGTTGCTACATTAGTTTGCAAAGCCCTGTATGGTACAAATTGTATCATTATAGTCACTGAAGTTTGGAATTCTCTCAACAAATAAAATCTAATGTAGCAGGGCATAACAACGATGTATGCACACACAAATGTTGTTTTATTTATGTTTGTGTGCACGTTTTGCTCCCCATGTTTAAAATAAATCTGCATCTAATATATTTTAACAAAAATGAAAGGTTGTAAATTGTCTAATTTCGAAAAACCCTCAGAAGAGAAGAGGGTTAAACATTTGATGACATTTGGTAATGTGACTCATTAAGAACATTCAGGACATGTAGTTAATAAATCCAGATTACAGGAGAGGCATTTATTTTATTGTAGCAGACACCGTATTAAGTTTAAATTGTCTTCCCTTTTTTTCCTCTAGTAATTCAAGCAAACTATTTCACATATATAATATAAACAGCAGCATGATCATTGTGAGGACATGTCAGAAATAATGGTGCCATTTGTGTCTATAAGCAGCAAAATGGTCATTGTGAGGACATGTCAGGAATAATGATTCCATTTGTGTTACAAGAACACCATTATTATCTTGCACCATGTAAAATGAAACCAAAATATGTGCAGTCATTGACTTCAGTTTGAAAGCTTTAGTTTTTTAGAAAATAATGACCTGCTAACCCAACTATCATTTTACTTAGTATGTTTGTTTTCTTCTGATTCTTAATAAATGAATGTTACAAAAATGTATATTTTTACTGTTAGCTCTAGACACAGTGCTTTCACTAAGTTTAAATAATGCTGCTTAGTTGAGTCATGGAGAGTGTTACCTCTAACACATAAAACAATTAGTAGCTATCCCACAACAAGAAAGAGAGAAATTAGCAAGGATAAATAAAAAGAAAAAGACAGGTTGCATGAGGTTGAAAGGCAAATATACAAACCATCCATAGGCACTGGATGTAGAATCTGATCAGGCAATAGCCCTTAAAGCCAGTTCAGCCAATGCGCATGAGTGGTAGTGCCACCTCTCTTCTAACCCCAGGCCTGCATGAGGGCCAGCATCCGTATGCCACAGACTTTGTGACTTGTGGAGTCCAAGTCTTTCCCCTTCATAGGGAGGTCGGAGGATGTTGGTGGCAGTCGCCACCATCTGCAGAAAATCTTCCACCTGTGTGAGCGATGCAGGGATGACAATCCTCAAGTGGCTCTTGGCCCAGGTTTGTGTGTAGGGGGTGTCCAAGGTTGTTGCTTGTTTGTCATGCCCTAAATAGGCCTCTCCGCCTTGGGGTGTTTATTACTATGGTATATCTGCTGAAGCCTGAGATTGCCAGCTGTCTCGTCTTGTGTGCCTGCAGCTTCAACCAGAAGCGATAAAAAATTGCGTTGAGCCTCATTGGAGATAGTATGAAAGGGTCGAGGCAGGGCTTCTGCAGTGGATGCATGCCATGCGAGTCAGAGAGGTAGACAGATGCCATCTTAGGATGTCAGAGAGTGTTTGGAATCTGCTCTAATGGAGTGGTATAGGTAGGCACAATATGGGTTGAATGGGTTAGTACCCATACAAAAGGAAAAGTTAACATGTTGTTAATCACCTGCAAAATAAAAGTAACATCCCTTCAAGGAGTATTTTAATATATATAGTAGCTATTAAAACATGAACTACCCAACTTTGTTATATTATATAGGGTGGGCCAAAATTCAGAGTAGGATTTGACAGGTAAATTAGCTATTTGTTAGTTTTTAAATTTTTTGTTGTTCAATTTTTTAACTGAGTTACATTGTTACATAGCTGAAAAGAGACTTGCGTGCATCAAGTTCAACCTTCCTCACATATGTTTTTGCTGTTGATGCAAAAGAAAGCAAAAAACCTAGTCTGAAGCGCTTCCAATTTTGCCACAAACTAGGAAAAAATTCCTTCTTGCCCCCAAAATAGCAGTCAGATATCTCCTTGGATCAAGCAGCTATTACCCCACTAATTAGAAATTATATCCCTGTATGTTATGTTTTTGCAAGTATTTATCCAATTGCAGTTTAAACATCTGTAATGACTCTGACAAACCCACCTCTTCAGGCAGAGAATTCCATATCCTTATTGCTCTTACTGTAAAAACAAATATTTTCTTTGCCTTAGATGAAATCTCCTTTCTTCCAGCCTAAATGTGTGACCTTGTGTCCTATGTATAGCCCTGTTTATGAATAGATTTCCAGATAAAGGTTTGTACAGGCCCCGAATATATTTGTATAATGTTATCATATCCCCTCTCAGGCGCTGTTTTTCCAAACTAAACAGATTAAATTTTTTTAACCTTTCTTCATAACTAAAATGCTCCATTCCTTTTATCAATTTTTAGCTTGTCTCTGGACTTTTTCTAGTGCCATGGTATCCTTCTTTAGAACAGGCGCCCAAAATTGCACAGCATATTCAAAGTGTGCTCTTACCATTGATTTATAAAGAGGCAAAATTATATTTTCATCCCGAGAATTTATGCCAGTATTTATACATGACAAAACCTTACTGGCCTTAGCAACTGCAGATTGACATTGTATATTGCTGCCTAATTTGTTGTCTATAACAATTCCCAAATCCTTCTTGTGTGTGGCTATCCCTAGTTCACTACTATTTAGGGTGTAAATTGCTTGTGCATTCTTAACCCCGAAGTGCATAACTTTGCATTTCTCTACGTTAAATTTCATCTGCCATTTTAGTGCCCAGTCCCCCAATCTATTCAAATCCCTCTGCAGCAAAGCAATATCCTGCTCACATTTTATTACTTTACAAAGTTTTGTGTCATCTGCAAACACTGATACATGACTTTCAATGCCTATTTCAAGATCATTTTGTAAATATGTTAAATAGAAGCGGTCCCAAAACAGAATCCTGAGGGACACCACTTACCACTTTTGTCCAGTCTGAAAATTTACCATTAATGACAACTCGTTGTACTCTATCCTTAAGCCAATGTTCTACCCAAGAACAAGAATATTCATGTAGACCAATTTCTTTTAGTTTGAAGACTAATCTATTGTGAGGAACCGTATAAAATTCCTTGGCAAAATCCAAGTAGATCACATCCACTGCAACACCCTGATCTATACTTCTATTTACTTCTTCATAGAATGCAATTAGGTTAGTTTGACATGACCTATGTTTCATAAAACCATACTGATTATTGCTAATAACAAAGTTCTTCCCAATGAATTCCTGAATATTATCCCTTAATAGCCCTTCAAATATTTTCCCAGTTACAGAAGTTAAGCTCACAGGTCTATAATTTCCCGGCAAGGATTTTGAACCGTTTTTAAATATAGGAACAACATCTGCCTTCCTTCAATCCTTCGGTACATTACCTGAAACAAAAGAATCTTGAAAAATTAAATACAGAGGTTCACTTATTTCCCCACTTAGCTCCTTAAGTACTCGTGGGTGAATACCGTCAGGCCCCCTGTGCTTTATTTACATTAATTTTCTTTAATAGCTGTAGCACCTTGTCTCGAGTTATCCAATCACAAGTTATCTGCAAATTTTTTGCAGCAATCATTTGTATATCTCTTGCCATAGGATCCTCATTAATATATACTGAAGAAAAATAGTTATGTAACATTTCTGCTTTTTCCTGGTCTTCATTAGCTAATAAACCGAACTCTGTTTCCAGTGTACCTACACTTTCATTTTTTGTTTTTTTTAGAATTGGTGTACTTGAAAACATTTTTGGGGTTGGTTTTGCATTCTTTGGCTATCAATTTCTCATGTTATAGTTTAGCCACTTTAATTGCCTTTTTGCAAGCATTATTGGTTTCCTTATATCTTAAATAGGATGCCTCTGATTTGTCCGATTTAAATGCTTTAAATGCCCTTTTCTTATTTCTTATTTTTAATATCTTGCTTCTACTAAGCCACATTGGTTGTAATGAGTTTCTTTTATATTTATTACCCTATGGTACATACTGAGAAATGTACATTTCTAATATTTATTTGAACAGTTTCCATTTATCCTCAGTGTTTTTATCACGAAAGAGTTTATGCCAGTCGATATGTTGTAGAGCTGCCCTAATCTTATTGAAATTTGCTTTTTTAAAATTATATGTTTTAGTATACCCCACGTGCTTTTGCTTTTTTGAGTTTATTTAAAAAATTACCATATTGTGATCACTATTTCCCAAATGCTCCCCTACTTGAATGTTGGTTAAAAGATCAATATTGTTTGCTATAACGAGATCAAGTCTTGGGTGATTCATCCTGGGTAATTTCACAGAGGTACAACAAGTAAAAATAGTGTAATTTTATTTTCAAAACTGAGACAACTGTTCGGCACGTGGATAATTACAAATAATTCCCAGATAAGGTGGCTACCATGTTCGCATGACCTTTCAGGTCCTGATTACTTCATGTGGGGATATCTGAAGGAGCAGGTGTACAAACCGTGTACACTTGAGCAGTTGAAGGAGAAAATCTGTGCAGAATTTTCAGCACTAGAACTTCAAACATTAACAAATGTTATGAACAATTCAGTCAAAAAGCCCAACTTTGTGAGGCAGCAAATGGAGCTCATTTAAAAGGTGTCATCTTCTGTACTTAGTCAAACAAATCTCTGTATGTTAAGCATTTATTGACAGTAATATCTTTAAAATTGGTTCCTTAATAAAAAAAAAGTTATTGACTCTGCAAGCCCTAATATGAATTTTGGTCTACCCTGTACTACAAGAATAACTTTTGTAAATAGTTGCCTCGTTGGCTGGGAAAAATTTACAGAGAGAAAAAACTGAAATGTCACGCCAATTATATGGCTGTAGAAAGTGTGAAGAAAGGTGACTAAGGTTATGTCTCAAATCCCAATGATTGAATTCCACAGGTCTTATCTTAGTTTTTTTCCTTGCTGGCGTGCCAACATTTTCCGAAAAAGTTCAGTAAAACTGAATTTAAGTTTTGTTGAAGCTGCCAAAGAATATTCATATGGATTCAGGTAATCATTATTTAAATGTTAATCAATGTATCTTTCCATTCTCTGGTTTTATAAAATATAAACACAGGATTTATCAGTGTAGACTTTTATTAGTGTGTTTTATTTACTTTGATGAAAGTATTGAACAATGTAACTGTGCAAATTCTTGTATAAGATTGTTCACCTCCAATAGAAATAGAATCCATCACAACAGCTCTAAAATCTTAGAAATATTGAGCCTGGGGTTACTAAAGCCATTTTCACTGTTGTTGTTTTTTAACCCCTTCATTACCAAAATAGTGGGAAAGCCAGTCTGGCTTTATCAAAAAGTGTTTACAGAAAGGGGGGGGACCAAAACTGCTTAAATAGGGGAGTAAAATTTGAATCTAACGGTCATATGACTAATTAACATATAAGAAATGTAAAAAGCGAAAAAAAAAAGTAATGGTGCTTAAAGAGTGTAGGGAAGGTAGTGGGTAGGTTAAAATACAAAACCAAGCTTTTATTTAGTAAATACACATCATTTTTTACAATGGATTGGGAGATGGGCAGAAAACAAAATTGTGCGCGGCCACATCACGGCCAAAACAATAATGTTGTTATAATAGTTCCAGAGCGTATTGAGAGTTTTCTGGCCTCATATAAATGTTCACTAGCTAGATGAAAGCTAGGAACCAGGGGTAAATATCAGAGCCAAGCCAATAGTGTATATGCTCAACTCCAACAAAATGGTGCCCGTTAGGAGAACTAAGAGAGCCAAAACAATGACGAATGGAGGACTTGGATACAGAGTCCAGTGAGGTCCAAAATTTATGAATACATGACATTGAGGGAAAAATAAAAAATAAATGGGAGTCAAAATAATAAATAAATGAATAAAAAGCACATTTAAACATAAATAAATGGATCCCAATAAACAGATTAATACAGTGGAATACATAATGGTGCAAACAGATATTAATGTTAAAAATAGCCTAAAAAATTAAAACATACAATAATAAGAAATAAATTAGTACATTCTTCAAAATATATAAAACGATAAAAAAAAATGACACATTGTAACACTTTCATAAAAAAATTTACCAAAAAATAAGACCATTGTGGATTAAGGTGTTCAGATAAAAAAAAAAAAAATTAATTTCACGTTGTCCCAAGAGTTTAGTGATATCCCCCCACGCCAAGGTATGGTACAGGTGTCTATTGTATAACACTTTAAAAAGTTAGGGCTTTTGTTATGTATTAAAACATGTTTAGATACTGTGTGATTCATACAACTTTTTAAAATATTTCTGCAATGTTCGGCTATTTCTATTTTAAGACACCTAATGGTCATACCAACATACTGAAGGTCACAAGGGTACTCCAGTATGTATATAATGTTCTTGGTATGGCAAGTTATAAAGTTATTAATATCATACTCTTTATTGGTAATGGAAGAGTTAAATGTGGTCATAGTGTTGCATGATTTACCTGTATATTTGCAGGCAGAACACATCATTTAAAAAAAAAAAAATTTGTTTAAAAAAGTAGCTTTTCATTATTGGATTTTTTTGTATAGTTTTAGTTAAAACTGATTTTTGGTTGGTAGCTCCTCTAAAAACAATAGAGGGTTTTGGTGGTAAAATGTTTTTAAGGATATTATCTTCTTTTAGGATGTCCCAATGTTTGTTAATAATTTTTTTCACTTCATGACTTTTATTGTTATAGTCAAATACTATGGGTAGTGTCATCTCTTTTTTTTTTTTTATTATTTTTTGGTTTGTAATCTAAAAGGGTGTTTCTGTTGAGACTCTTAATCTCTTTAATTTGTGAGTTGAGACTGGAGGCTTTATAGTTTTTCTCCACTAGTTTCTCTTTTAAAATATTAGCTTACATTTTAAAAACAGTACAATCAGTGCAATTCATTTTTAGACATAGTAGTTGACTTCAAGGCACACTATTAAGCCAGAGTTTGTAATGACAACTTGTGAGGTCAATGAAGGAATTGGTATGTATCTTTTTTTTAAAAGTCTGAGTTTTTAAAGTGTAGTTTTTAATGTATATTTCTAGGTCTAAAAAAAAATAGAGGTTTTACCATAGTTCATGCTTAATTTGATTCCTCTGTTTAAATTTTTTTTAAAAATCAATAAATCATTTAGAATGGATTCAGACCCTTGCTAAATAAAAAATAAATCATCTATATATCGGCGATAGAGGACCAGGTTAGCACCCCAGTCATGCTTGAGTTTTCCCAATCTGCCATAAAGAGGTTTGCATAACTTGGGGGAAACCTAGTCCCCATCGCCGTGCCAGTCTTTTGTAGATAACATGTGTTGTGAAACCAGAAGTAGTTGTTTCTTAAAATTAGCTGGACACCTTCTAGAATAAAATTGATTTAGGGACTAGATATGCTATCTTCTTTTTTGAGAATATATTGTTTTTTACTGTTGCACCCTATATCATGGGGAATGATGGTGTCCAATGATTATAAGTCACTGCTAACCAAAAATAGTATTTTTCCCAGTTAATATCTTTGAGGATTTTAAGTGAACCCATGCTGTTCTTTGAATAGGATTTGTTTTTTTGGACATATGGTTGAAGGATGATATCTATGTACTCAGAAAGGTTTGACAATATTGAATTCATACCTGAAACAATGGTGCGACCAAGGGGGTTGTTGGGGTTCTTGCTTATTTTTGGTAAACAATATATAACAGGAACTGTAGGGAATGGTATATTGATGTATGAGTATTCTGAATTGTTAAAGGAACACTATAGTCACCTAAATTACTTTAGCTAAATAACACAGTTTTAGTGTATAGATCATTCCCCTGCAATTTCACTGCTCAATTCACTGGCATCTAGGAGTTAAATCACTTTGTTTCTGTTTATGCAGCCCTGGCCACA